AATTGTAATTTTTAGCACATTTATTGTTAATTTTAAAATATTATTATTAATTATTTAACCACAATTGTTAAGCAATTTTACTATTTTTTTGATGGTTAACATCAAGAATCAAATATGCTATGCAATTTTTATCAGAAACGCGTGATCAGTAAGAGATATTTTCTGATATGTAAACGTTATACAAATTTTAGCGGAAAATGTGGTAAAATGTCTATGAGAAGCGGTTGTAGCGCGGTATTTTTAGTTTCAACGTCAATTGAATTTACGATATAAATCAAGCGAACGTTCGTATAGTCTGACAAGCGAGCCGCTCGTTTGTGTATAGTATGCAAAACAAAAGGACGGAGTTGGACAATACGTGAAAAAGTTACGTCATCTTAACAATAAATATAAGTGCTCTCACAAGTAAGATAAAATAAAACTAAATAAAATTATTTTATTTGAACTCAAATAATATTAAGAGAAAGTTTTTATAATAAAACAATTTTTTTTGAATTTGGATTATCCATCGGATATTTCATGTTATAATTTGCATTTTTTGCACTTTATGCATGTAAGACAAAATACGTTTATAAAATTATTATATATATATTGGATAAAAGATATATTCTGATATACGAAATAAAAATAAAAAAATCAACTTTGAACGTCAAACTATATGGTCAAGAGATTTGATGCAAATGTTTAGAACTTTGTGGACTGTACGTATGTGTATCATTCGTTCACGCAAACGAAAACACCGAAGACAATCACTTGGGAATACTTTCTTTTCAAGACGTTAGTAACGGTTTGCGACCGCAGCAACTCGACCACGAAACTAAAACCATTTTATTTTCTGCAAATGTGATAGTCGCTCTTCTCAAATCCCATAAGGAAAAACCATACTTTTTCAGTTGAAAGATTCTAACTTAAAAATAACGATAACATACTCCATAGATTATTAGGCTATGCATATATGTCATGACTATGTAAATTGTCTTTATTGTATTTTTCTTAATAGAAATAATTTAGGTTACAAAAAATGTGTTCATAAATTAATATATGTATATATATATATATATATAATAAACTGTTAATTTTATTGGGTTAATTGTAAATTAATTTAGTTTAAATAATTATTTGATTTGAGATACACTTATCGAAGAACTTATTGTTAGCACAAGAGATGGAAAGAGAGAAAAGAACAAAATAAAGAGTTTCTTTAATTCTCATAAGAATTTTCTTTTAACAAAAAAAGACATCAAATTTGTTTTAAAAAAATCAGTTTCTAAATATTTTCTTGATATAATACTTTGATAGCGTTTACTCGAACAAGCAGATTAGTTGTAGCGAACCGATTTTCTTCGCACAAATGGAACTACGAAGAGATATAAACTATCGACCAACGCACTATGGACCATCGTGAATCACGAAGAAAAGGTTACAACTACAGGGTTTGTCCGGAAAGTAATGCGTCGCATTTTTTTAAAAAAGAATTTATTGATCGCATAGGTAAAACAACTTAAAATTGTTCGAAGTATGACCCTTCTGCGTCAATACATTTTTGCCAACGCGATTTCCATGCGTCATAAGATTTCTGGAACTCCTTGACTGGGATGCTGTTCAGGGAGGCCGTCGAAGTAGCTTGTACGTTGTCAACCGACTCGAGCTGTTGTCCTTTGAGCTCCTTTTCAGCGAGGAAGGAAATAAAAAAAAGAAATTGGGATTATCTGCACAGAGTTGCTTGAGTTCTTCACAAACTTCCACTCGGTGTTGCTTTTGCGCATCGGTCAACACTCTGGGCACAAGTTTTGCGCAAATCTTCCGCATGGCCAAGTCTTCCGATACAATCTCGTGAACAATCGTTTCGGCAAGTTCAATAATTCCGACATTAAGCGAACATTCATTCGACGGTCTGAATTCAATAATTGGCGCACACGAGTCACATTGTCGTCCGTTCGCGATGTTGACGGGCGTCCTGCGCGGGCCTCGTCGGCGACCTCCTTCCGACCTTCTCTAAACATCTTGTGCCATCTGTTTGACTGCGATTTGGAAAGGCAATCGTCCCCGAAAACTTTCTTGAGCATTTCAAAAGTTTCCAGCGGCGTCTTGTCCAGCTTCACGCAAAACTTTATCGCATAGCGTTGCTCTATCGTTCTCTCCATCACAAGTTCGACGCGACCACTAAGCAGAGGTTCACAGAATAAGCCGTCCTAACCCTCCAAGCGCATGGAAACAATTGAGCGACCTACCGTTGGAAAGCTAAGGGTACCCCCCTTCCTCCCCAACCGGTCCCATCGCTCTGCGATGTATAGTCGCGTCACAAAAAAATGCGACGCATTACTTTCCGGACAAACCCTGTATGGCGTACATGTTATGCAGGCACAAAGACATACATACAACAACATATGTTTTTCTCAAAAGGTCAGTATGGCAGATCTTTCCATCTCCCTCGTCTTTTTACTATATACATCACTTATAAAAATACTCTGTAGAAAGCCGTTAAGGAACTTTTTTTCTTTGTTCGAAGAAACACTCACGCGGTTTTAAAGGTGCAAATTGTGAGAGATCGATCGAGAACATCGCCTTCGTTCGACGTATAATAATAAGTATAACGAAGCTCTAATGATACTCAAAATAGTAAAACTCTGACTGAGCATTCACTCGTGTTTAAAAAAGCACGACTTTTAAATGATACATTTTTATTTTAATTTTATACTAATGTTGCACAAGAATATATTCAATATATAATATTTATTTTTATGAAATGATCACTTTTTTTATTATTCACTCTGTTGCTTATCATAATGAATGCATTTTTCTTTTATTTGTAACTTGTATGTTATGTGTATATAATGTGTATTTGCACAGAGATAAAGAGAGAGAGAAAGAGAGAAACTTAAAAACTTTTTGACCATATGATATTATTGTTATATTACATCGATGTGGTTTTGAATTTAAATTGAATTGAATTTGAATTTAAATTATAACTCTTTTTTTTCTTTATTTATTTTATCTGTGCTATTTTATTGATTGCAAGTACGTAGAACTGTGTAAAGTTCATAAGTTTATTAATTTTTGTTTATTATAAGTGCTATAACTCTATAAAATATTATTTTACTTATTCTTCATAACAGTTGGATGATAAGAATGAGATAATAGCTATTGCTTAATGCGAAAATATCGTCAATCGGTGATGTCGAACATATGACACGCTCGGGAGAATGACAATTGTGTCACATATTTGACATCGTTGATATTCTCGCATTAAGTAATTGCATTATCGTTGTTATCGCTGTTATCGTCCATGATTCTTTTCTCGCTCAAAAATTATCTAAAAATCGATGCGTTGACACACATCAATAACGTTTATTTTAAATAACACTTTTGAAGTAAAGTAGGTAGGACTGAAGTTGTTAGCTTCCTGATAATAAAACACTGATAAACTCAATATAAACGTTAAAACATATATATTTTATATAAGAGTTATATACGGCACGAAAATTCCTATGAAGATTATCATCTTCCGAGATAACAAATGCAAAGCGATTAGTGCACTTTGGGGTTCTACTAATTCGGTTATCATATCTATTTTCGGGCGAAACACACCCTGCTCCACTAAACGTATCTATGTATTTACGACTCTGACTATTATTGTCAAAATATTGTGTTTCGCATATCTCAATGTAAATTATCTATTGTCATCATAAAGAAAGAAAGCTATTGCATATATATGTATATTTAAGAAGTTTGTTCATTTCATTAAAATGGCTATTAATTACGCCAGTAGGCCTTTATATAGACTTTATAATATTTGCTTAAAAATACGTTTTTTATAATAGTCTTTTTTTTGTAGAATATATAGTATCTGTTTTTTGTTCCACCATCTCGTTCCATCATAATCACTCTTCCGTGCACATAATTTTATACGCATATTAATAACAGTAATTTTTTTGAACAACATATTCGAGAATGCATTTTTAAAAATAATGATATATTTTATTTTATTTTATTGTTTGTACCAATTTTATCTTCTCCCTTTCTCACATATACATTACATGATTTAACAAAATATTCTTTTATAATATATAAAATTATTTATTCATATTGCACTTGCAATGATATGTAAAGACAAATACGTTTATACTTATAAAAGAATATTTTCTCTTGTCATATCTTGTCGTTTTTGTAAAGTATAAATCAATATTAAAATAGAGAAATATAATCCTACTTAAACATATTATAATATAATAGAAATAATTTTAAATGTATGCGTCTTATATTATATTTATATTATATTTTTATCAAATCTTCTCAAATAATATTATAGAAGAAATTTTGTTTTCTTTTATATTCAGAAGATTTGTGAAGAAAATAGCATTTGTATTAAAACACAAAAAAAATTGCTCCAAATGTAGTCTTTATAAAAATATTAATCATCATTTGCTTTAATTTTTCGACCATCATTCATTACACAATACAAAGCAGAGCGTACTTTTATCCCATGTCTATTTAATTGGCGAAAAAAATAATATAAATAAGTAACTGATCTCTTTTTCTAAAATAAATTAGATAATAATCATGTTCAATCGAGGCATTAAATTATGAAGTCAGAGCTGATCACCGAAGCGAATAAAACTCGTCATACCAAATACGACACATACGTGCTATCACTTTATTAACGGCGACCGGTTTTATAACGCTTTCATTCACCAGAGGGTACGTTAACTACGTCATAGTTTAACACATTTTTCACGTGGGCGAAATCCACGTTGAGAAAGTGAGCAAATATAGAAGATTCCCGGGCAGAAAAGGAGAACAGACGATCGCCGTTTAAATCGTCGTTCATCCAAGTGCCCGAGATGCAGACTTCCTCGCAAACCGATCGGTGGGGGCCGTTCCACCCCTGTTTAGGGGTGCAAGCTCAGTTCTCTGATTGGTCCATATACCCCGTGACGTCACTGCGCCGCTAGCATTACGTTAACTTGAAGCACGCGGAGCTTCGGATTCAGTCAGTTGACCGCTGTTCGCCACACCGAGCAGTTCTCACCTTGAAACTCTGAGGATTGCCAAAACTCGAAACGGATCGTCGAATTCTTATCGATTTCACTGTTACATCACCATATCTTTGGACACATTCGGTCTTACTTTTGAAAGGTAAGTGAATTTATTTTTTAATAAAAAGTACCGTCTTTAATAAGTGCATTTTCCCTATAAAATTTAAAAAATAATCAGTTAACTTTTAGCTTGTCTTATTTTATTAAAAATTCTTATTTTACTTTACTTTATCTCTTTCATAAACTTTCACGTAATTTTTTCCTATATTTATTGCTTAAAATGTACACGAAAAAACCGAAAATTATATTTTCTGTTGCAAAGAACTTGAACAATACATTCACATCTATTATCTATAAAATGGAGAATACTAAATTTCTCGTTCCTTTCTGTAAATTTATTATATTTAATATTATATTTTTTATCTACACATCGCGTTCTTTATTTAAAAAAAATAGAAAAATTCTTTTAAACGACAATTTTTATGTTACGAATATAATTTTATTATAATATTCTGATTTTACATGACTGAATTTTTGCATGATTAAAAATGTGTATGGCTCTCTCTCTCTCTCTCTCTTTCTTTTTTCTTTCTTTTGTTTAAATAAATTTAAAACAAAAAATTTTATAAGAGAAAGACCTTTATTACTGAGCAATTGATATATTTTTTTATCTTTTTGTTAATCAAGAATTGATATTCACGTATAATTGACAATATTTTTATATAATATTATATTAGCCTTCTTAGAATAATTTTACTTTATTACTTTTGAATTAAAAGATTGAAAGTTAATATGTTTTATGTATCTTGTAAATTTTGCTTGTAATTGTAAATTCTCATGAATTGTATAAAATATGTGTATACAATTATTAAGATAAAATTGTCTGATGGTTTTACAAATCTAATTAGCTACTGTGCAAACTTAAAAGAAAATCCAACGAAGAGAAATAATGAGATTAATAAAAAAAAGACATATATAACTAGACATACATAACTTTAAACAAAAGATTTAATGAGAGTAACTTCTTGAAATTAAAATAAATAAATAATATTAGTCTTTCAAATATCTTAATTTTTTAATTCTTATATTTATTTAAGAAATTTATACGAGAAATCTAAGCACTCTTTAATTTATACTCTCTTTCGCGTTATCAATTTCCATATTAAAAAAATTATACATATTATTTTATATATTTAAAAAAGAGAAAGAAGTAGAAAAAAAAAGATATACAATGTTTTGTAACGAAAATTTGTATTGACGCGTATAACAAAAATTATCAAAAATCTTATTTAAAGGTTAATCGTTTTCGTAGAATAATGTATAAAACGAGCAGGGTTTATCTTCAAATATCAAATTATATTTATCCTGAGAATCATCAGTAATCGTAGAACAATATGGTATTGGAAAAATTTTATAAAAATTTCTCTGATTAATATTTATCACAATAAAAATATTAATATATACCACAATAGACATAAAATATGTTCGATTACTTTTATTATATATGTATATAATAAAATTTATTATGTACATATTAGTATTTTTTATTGTGGTAAAATATTGATCAGAAAAATTCTTATAAATTCTTCCAATACCATGTAATCCCTCGATTACCATAATTTTCAAGGTAAATTTTAAGAGAAACTTCTTTCCTTATACAAAGTATAATTATACAAATTTATATTATTTCCCTAATTCTAGCTTTGTATTAATTTAATTTAATTTCAGTAGTTTAACCTTTAGACATAGGTAAACGGACAAGTTTCGTGCTACTCTTCAATTATTTTGTAGAAGCAACAGGCTTCCGACATAATGGCAGCCTTATGTAATAATATTAAACAAGTTCTTCTTATAAAATTAATCGAGTGTATTATGTTTAGATTGTTTTACGTCAAACTTTTGAATTAGCAAACTTACGATTTATTAATACATGACGTTAAATATGTCAATACTTTTATTTCCGAAGTATTATAGTAACATATATTATATAGAACGAAAATACTACAAAATAAAAAAGATTGTAATGTTTTATACTGCTTTGGTTTGAGAAGCACATATATACACTAAAACACAAAAGGTAGAAATATTAAACAAAAATATGCATTAAGTGCATATATTTTTGTTTAATAGAAGATATCAAGTTTCTCAAATTTTTCGCAATCTGATCGCGTATTTATGAGACTATGCCAAAGTGCATCTCCTTATCTAAAATATTTATCATTCGTTGAATGGCTTTTAACAGAGTTTTGATTATAGAAAAATTTAACGTATATAAATGTAATTGTTATAAGACTGATAATTTTTTTATTAATTTTTATAATAAAAAAATTAAAATTAAATTAAAAAAATAAGATTAAATTAAAATTTAATTCTTAAAAAAATTTATCTAGAGTTTAATATTAATAGTATTTATGCTAAAATTCTTATATTATGTAAGATTACATGAAGGCTAAATTAGAATTATAAAAGAATCATTAATTAGAATACAGATTAAGAAATAATTGATTAAAATTTTATTTTATTATTAAAATCTTTAGATAATGACAAAATATGACAAAATGATTAATTTGCTACTTTTTCACATTTTCAATGAAAATTATATCCCTAATATTTTGCACAAAAAAAATTAATTTAAAGAAATAATTTTCAAAATTAATTTAAAAATTTTGTAAATATTTGGAGACTTATTATTTAATAATATATTGATATAATTTATTTATATTTTTACATATTTTAATTATTAGTATCAAAAAATTTTTATACGTATTTTAGATTCAATTTTCTCTCATAAAATTATTTTTTAAATTATCACACTTATATAATACCCAGATTATATCTACAGTATTTTTTCGAAAAATCGTGATTTTTTTTTTTTATTATAAAAAAGCAAAGACAAAGAATATAACGAAGGACTTTGAATTGTGCAAGATATTTCAGATATGTAATTTTATTCCCTGCACGGCACAAAGAGCGATTTGATGAACAAAATGCAATTTTGAAAAACGTCAACTAAAATATAATTTTGTTTGAAACAAAATACAGTTTTACGAAAGAGAGAGAAGAGAGAGTGTGTGTGTGAGAGGGAGAAGTAAAATTTTAATTCCTAGTGTTTTACAATTGAGGTGTACATCAATATCCATTCTCTTGAGGCCCCTTTAAATGCGGTTTACCATGCTAATGAGATATACTTCGCGTCGCCGAAACACTAAGCTAACTTCGCCGCTCTGTTCGTTAGCGCGAGTCGAAGTCATTCACTATAATAGCCCGATGTGGACCAAAGGGAGGGAACATTGAATTTATCGGACTCTACGGGGTGCGAATACAGTATATAAGCGAAGCCAAGCGATAGCAAAGTTTCTATCGAGTGTGCAAGCTATGTTCCGGCACGTAGCAATTTTTAAATTCCATTGCGCCTTGTCTATTGCGCTGTCTATTCGATGTACTTTTCTCATGTTTTTATCGTTTCAAAAATCGGACGGTCAAATTCTCGCACTGGTGCACGTACATCAATATATATATATCAATCGTGATATTTTCGCATGGTGATTCCCCCAGGCATTCATGTGGTACTTTTCGACAGATTAATTATTCGCTGTTTCGTGTTTGATGCTCACGACTTTTTGACAATCGATCTTTTACAAATAAAAAAATTATCTGTGAAAGAATTCATACAAGATTTTTTCATTTAATTTACATATTACATTATATATCTTAAAAATATATCTTTAAAGAGAAGACTATAATATCATTTCCATTATGTTTTTCTAAAAAAAAATACTAGGAAACTCTCTCGCGTAGATACATTTTATTTAAATAATGATATATTGAAGACTTTGTAATTATATATTAAAAATTCTTACCGCAAATGTTATTAATGAAAATTATTGGAAATACTATATGTATTTTATATATTTCCTGAAATATACTTTTAAATAAATGAGAAATTGTTGTAATATTAGTTGTGTGCATCGCATTAATATTCCTTATATAATATAGTAGACAGATATTACTTTCTAATTATATAGAGAATAATTAGTTTCGTAGCCGAGATACTCAGATATGTAAGGTCGCTAATTAGAATACCATTCTGAGTTTAGATTGACATAATCATCATGTATAATTTAATCGAGCTCAGGGGCTTTCTTTAATGCAAAATCAAGAAAGTAATTAACAAGTTTTGTGCAATCCTTTACAATGATTCCTCTGAGAGGTATTCTGGTGGATCTAATTAAATCAAGAGACTGAATCATCGCACTTTTTTTTTATTCATAATTTACTTTAATATTTCATTATTTCAAACTAATTCTTATGCAACGTGCGTGTTATAATACCTTTTATAATCAATAATTTTAACTCAATTGTGCAATCATTATAATGACAATCTGCAAATACTCTTATAATTATAATTCAAAGATAAATAATATTTCGAATATATACGATCAATTTTCAAGATTATTAAAACACTTATAGTTATGAAAACATTTTTTAAAATGTTTCATCTTCTAACAAAATACTTTCTATTATATTATCATGATCATGATTATTATTATTATTATAAATGTAATGTAATATAATGTCCCCTCTACTTTTGTGTGTTTCTAATGCTTGTATGCATTATATTTTTTATTTGTTTACGTTACTATATATTTTTTTAGATATTTTACATTTGAACATCTGAATTTATTGCTATTAACAATTAAATACGTTATAATTAATTTTATATCTGCTATATAATATTTCCTAATGGTTAACCGCCGTTTAATTACTCTCTCTCTCTCTCTTTTGATCTGTTTAAAATTCATTAAAATAATGCCGAAATGTATCGCAGTATTAATATGCTAATATGCTAATATGCTAATTTCAATATATTTGTGAGAGAATTGTTATCATAAACATTATTTTCGGTTTGATTATAATTAAATTGAGAGAGTAAAGTCTAATTTAGTAACAACATAAAATAATTATTATAAAAACTTTAAAAGAAGACTATTATATACAATAATACTATATAAATGAGCGGATTACATAAATCTTTAGAATTACTACAATAATTAATATATTTAATCGTTTAATAAAATATTTAATATATTTTATTCTTAT